CAGCAGCGCTGAACCCAGCCGCATGTGTGCCCCTGTTGATGCCCCAGGTTGCGGTCCCACCACACTCTGAGCAGCAAACACACATCCCAGCATCCTGCTGCTGCACACAACAGACAGTCCTCACATCACTGCTGCATGTGGTGTGAGTGCTGGCACCTCTCCTGGGAGGGACCAGGAAAAGAACACAGTTGTGGAAGACAGAGCAATCTGACAGGTTCTGAATTTAGCCTAACATGTGTCTGTATGGATTTAAATAATTCCAGCTTGGGTTTGTTCTTCATGCACTAGGAAATCAGCAAGAGGGGACAGAAGGTGTTACATTAAGGAGGAAAGGCCAAGATTTCCTTGGTACATTTCAGACAGCATCACGTAAAGTCATTAATCTCAGAAGAGGGCAGCCTGGGTACTCTGAAAAAGCACAGCACAGAGGAAGACTTTGGAGGAGTTTTTGTCCAAGTTTTCACCTCATAAATCTTCACTTTGAAATAACACATCCTTAACTGCAGATTGGGAGGGTTTTTTGTAACTCTCATGTTCCCATCACAATGCAGAACACTGTGAATGTTAAATGAAATCACAGGAGGAGAAGCACCAGCCTAACATGACACCTTGAGAGGAATGGATGTAAACACTCTGCTTTGAAGCCTGAGTGCCACCATCTTCTCCTCACCTGCAGAAATCTGAAGAAAAGATGTAAATGTTCTCATCCTTGCTGATCAGCGGGTGAAAGGATGTCCCATCTGTGCCATTGATCATGTTACATGCCTCTGTTGTCCACCAGCTCAAGGACCTGAGGAAAGGGAAGGAAAGAGGGCAAGGGCTAAAAGATGTCCCAGCAGCAGTCAGGCCATGCCAGCTCCTGGCCCAGGCAAATGGGAATCAGACCTGTACAGAGCCAATTCCTCTTGCCTCAGCTCTGCTAACAACAAAAGCAATTGAAATGGGTTTAAGTTGCACTTGCATTCTCTTTAAACTGGCACCAGGCAAGCAAGGGGCAGATTGTGACAGAGGCAACAGCACACTGAGAAACTTACTCTTTTCCTTTCCACTCCACAATCCTGGAGAAGTTCAGGTAGTTTGTCTCCCCACTCAGGAAAACATATTCTCCATCATCAGTTCCGTTCATCTGCAAACAGATGCAGGAGCTTTCAGTGGCTCCAATCCTCCTGTGGCACCTGGCTGCTCACTACAATGGGGTGGCAGGACTTGAAGCTGTCACCACTTCAAATCCACCCCGGGAGTGATGGACTGCCCCTGAGAGCTGTGCAGTTCATTGAACTCCACCCTGAACAGGAATGAGGTGGAAGTGACTGGGAAAGATCCTTACACCTCACAAACAAAGGAAATACAACACCTGATGAGCCTTTTCTCCTTTTTAGGGCTGCCCCTGAATAAAGAGTCCTCAGGAAGAAAATAACCCCACAGAAATAACCTCAGCACTGCAGATATCCCCATGAAGCAAGGACTCCCCTCAGACCAAAATGACATGGAGTGACCAGAAATACTGTGCAAGCCAGGAATGGCTCCAGCACAGAATTAACATCCAACTTCAGTCAATTACTAAGGAAATCAGGACATTTTTCTGGCAGTTTGCACACGTGGCTCCACAAAGCCCATGTTATTCAAGCGAGCACAGGCAATAGTGGAGGATGCTGTCCTTGGAAAGCTTATCCATCCCTCCCATGCAGTGCCATCACCCCCCAGGGACAACAGCAGCAGGTGCGGCCACGGGTTACCTTGCTGAAGAGCCCGAAGATGGGGTCGATCTCGGGGTGCAGGACGTGGATGGTGGAGAGCAGCCTGTCCTTGTAGCCCCAGAGCAGCTCGTGCACGCTGCGCACAGTGAACAGCGACTCCTGGTACAGCAGCAGCAGCACCTCCGTGGCAAACTGCAGAGGGGTCGACCTGGTCCACTCCATGGCAGTCTGCAGGGCATGGGAATGAGGCAGCAATGGTCACATTTGCTGGGCAACAAACCATCAGCTGCATCCAGGCACAGACACTTTCCACCGCTGCACACCCATTTCACCAAAATTCAAACATTTATTTCCTTTCCAGCTGACAACAGGCCTTTAAAGAGGTCATAACAAAAGGAGGGCATTCCTTCTGGGCTAACCAACCTGTGGTTCTTCTCATACTGCCTGATACAGTACATCACAGCCAAAAACCTGAAGGAGAGATAATCCTTACCACCACGAGGTGCCTGGAAGGAATTGAAAACACAGGGTCTGTATTGTCTGCAACTTTCATTAAGCTGAGTCCTATCTACTACTCATACAGGGCATTTCTGTATTCACTCATAAAATCAGGCATTTTTGGAAATGCTGGGGACAAAGTTGAAATGAAGGAACCCTGCAAATGAAATTAAACCAGGATGGAGAGCAAAGGCTGAATGACACCCCCAAGTGTTTGAGTAGAGGCTGACTGCCTCTGTGACAGCTTGGGATCTGCTTGTTCTCATGCTATCCCTGTATAAGACCAAAATAATGGTCTGCCTGTGATCACCATGAGATTCTCTGTCACCTAGTTAGTGCAGTCTGGGGGTGCATTTTTTACTTCAATTTCATTCAGCTCTGTCTGGAACTGCTCTACTGTACTTTGTTTCTGGTTTAAGAAGCAGACTTGGAGGCAGGAATATCAGGCAGGCCTGATTTCCCCCTGTCCCTGGAGAGTGTGTCATCTTGCAGCACCAGGGGAAGGCACTGCAGAGATGTGAGGAGAGGGAGGAACAAAATAAGCCCCCCCACAACAGTCCAGCCCCAAAGTGAGACCAGCATCTGCCCAGGACACAAGCTGCCTCTCTTGTTCTTCCATCACATTCATCTACCACAGAGAGTCAGGATGAAGCAACACACTGCTCCTTATGAAGTGTGTCAGGATGAATTCCAAGCAGGAACAAAAGAGGACTCACCACTGCAGGGATATTTACTGTCCTGATCAGGTCCACTTCAGGGTCTCCCACTGACTTCTCAGGTTCAAATACATAAGTCTTTGGGTTTAGAGCAGACACTTTGGTTCCATTGTCCAAAAACTGAATGTGCACTCTTGGCCTGTATTCCCTGAAAGACAAGAGTTTGTTCTCTGACTGAGTTAAACAAATAGAGCATTAGTCACAGTTAACTTATGGCTGTTTTTCTGCTTTAAGCATGAAAGGGTGGCATTTTCAGTTCTTTGGAAGCAGATTCCCTCACTGACACAAACTCCCGGCTGTATCTGCATGAGCTGAGTCAGACCTCATGGGGCATCTCCAGAAATGCCACCCTGAGTGCTAATTGCACTTTGTATTTTTGCTTCATCTTTAAAAATCTCAAAGGAAGGACAACAATTTCAGATGGCTCAGAAGGACTTAAAGGCACCATATATGAGATTGCCCTGAAGTCCAGTGTGAAAATGAAACTTTTGCCTCTGCTGCAGGCAAAATCCACTTCCAGAAAGACGCAGGCTGCGTGTCATGGGCCTGACCCAAGAACCCACCAGAATCCTTCTGCTGCCTTCAGAGCATGTGGCTTACATGTGGCACGACCACAGAACAAGCCTCATTTTAGTTCTTCTCCTTTAATTCTCGAGCAGGAATCCTGGGCACAACAGAAATTCAACTGAACTTTTGCTTTTCACTACCTGGAAGGTTGCTGCTGTTCCTGTCTAAGCACTCAGACAGCAGGATAAAACTCAGGATTGCTGACAGACCAGTCCACTTGGCAAGGAACATCAAATGCTACCTGCTGGCCAGACAAGAAGTCAATTTGCATTGCCATTAGCACTTGACCAACCAGGATTCTGCAGCTCTGCTGACACACACTCGTTGCTCCAGCAAACCCCAAAAGGGAAATGGCAGCAGACTGCTCACTGCCTGGCACATGCAGGAGGGGAAACTCCTCCTGTTTCCTCAGCCTGCAGTGACTCAGGAGCCTGTTGACTTTCACATTTGCCTGGGCAAATGTCAAGTCACACGATGTGAGGGAGAATTGTTCTGCCAGATGATGTACTCTGATGTTCTGCATCCAGTTTGGATTGAAATTCTGTCCTGGCTGCACTGAATCCATCAGTGCAGCTTCACAGCAGGCTGCATTACTCTGGCTCAGCCTTCACATCTAAGGCAAACTGGAAAAGCCTGTGAAACTACTGCTATCAGAAACCAGCCACTTCCCATCTTCCTTACCCTAAGTGTCTCTCCCACTCCCCAGCATCCCTCCACCCAGGAACATTTGGCAGGACCCTCTTGGACAGCAATCTATTTCATACCCCGGGGCTGGAACTGAGGGGATGGAAATGGACAGCTGTGAAATGCCTTCCTAAAATAGGCCAGGAGTAATCTGAGACACCTCTCCAGCTCTGGAGAGGAAAATAATACTCCCTGATGAGGGATATGAGTAGGACGTTACTAAGGCTCTAAGATGTTGAAGTTAAAAAGTTGTAAATACGTGCAAGACCAGATAATATTCCAGTGCTCTTTTGGGACTCAGCAGGCTTGGGCAGATAGGCAGCTTGAACTTTGTAATTACTTATTTTACATGCTGCCACTTCAACTTCCAGGATTTAAAAACACCAGCACTACTATGTTTTTGTTACAGAATCTGCCTGAAGTGCTTTACACTGTATGCTGGTGAAAAGTCTGAGCTGCAGAATGAGACTCTCTGGAGCCCTCCCTGTCACTGACTGGATTTTTTACTCTCTGCTTGTCTGGCCCAGTTCACTCCCAGCCCTTCCCCAGCCTTTTTTTTTCTAAAAACACAGAGCCATGCACTTCACATTAGTGCATTTTGGGAGTTCTGCCACGTGCTAAGGCTAAATGAGGTTTCAGTGCTTTGCCACACAGGGCCTGTGGAACCAGCTGGAATGTGCAGCCTCTTCCCCTCCCTCTCTGTCCCCACCAAGAACACCTGAGGGAGGGCTGGTGTCAGGGACCTGCTTGCAGGCAGCCCTTGGTGTGGGATGCAGGGAAAGGCTTTCCCAGCAAAGCAGCAGCTCAGGCTGGGCCTCCCCTGGGGCAGGGCCCAGCCCCAGCCCCAGCCACCCTGCTGAGCTCCTCCATGGACAAGGTGCAGCTTCCCAAAGCAGGCTGTGTGGGACACCCAGGAGGCACTCAGAGCTAAGGAAAGGGAAGGAAGCTGGCAAAGAGGACTGAATGCCAGCCTGTGTGAACCCTGGAGCTGGTCCTGTTCATCTTCCTGACACTGAACACATTGCTGACTGATGCCCAGCATTACACTACACTACACAGACCTGAAGGAAAGCTTGAGAACTAAAGAGCTTGTGGATCATCTTTTCTCCAGCTCTACTGGCTCCTGTAATAGCAGGGATTTTGCCAAAATACCACATGGAGTTTGCCAGGACTAAACAGACACAGGTCTAGAATGCAGAGGAGACAGGGGAAGGGACAGTAGGCAGGGGGAGAAGGGAAGCTGAGCTGTGGGAAGAAGGAAACTGAAAGAGATAACACAGAAATCAAGGCTACCACAAAGGCTTCTGCTTTCATTCCAGGCCTTTTTCAAATACCAAGAGATTCTGATAATTTTGCAGCTTAGGTACAGGCAGTTCCTTCCAGCACTGAGCCCGTGCCCAGCCTGGATGAGCCTGTGTGACCAGAAGTGAGGCTGACAGTCAGGAAGCCACCTTCTTGGTGTGGGGACGAGTTCCCCATCACAGCAGGACTCCTAGGACCACAGCCCTTCCTGCCACAGGCCTGCTCCTGGCTGACATGGCTGCAGGCAGCTGAGCACATCACAGATCTAAAGGAAAACTCGTTTGTAAGGGAGTCAAATCTCTCTGTGCCATACAGGACAGCTCTAGGAGCTGGACAGTATTTAACATTACACGTGGCCTCAGTAAATCCATCAGCAAAAATGAGAGATAGGTTTAAAAGCTAAGCAGGTGTTCCAGTGAGGGTTGGCTCAGGAAGACCCTTTTAGTACCACCCTAAGTGTTTTTCTGGCCACATTCCACCCATGTGGGATGGTGCAACTCCAGCTAGGAACCAATTCCTGAGCAAGCATGAGTGCATGAGTCACACTTTTGTGCAACACTCCACTCTCCCTAGCCTCCCAAACATCACCCAGCTCACAAGACAGCAGGCCAGGATGCATTAACTTCCTCTGTGTCCAGCAGTGAAGAACAGCAGCAAAACTTGGTCCAAAATCTGACAGAAGTCACTGGCCTCATCTGAAAGCAGCTGCAAGTGTCAGTGCTGTCTGTGTGGGCTGTGACCACGCTCCCCTGGATAAACCTGCCCTCACACATTAACAACTAGGTTTTCTCCCAGAATGGGACCCCAAGCCTTCTGGATTCCTCACACAGCAGAGTTCTTGTGGAGTGTGGAACTCCTGAAAGGTCTTACCTGTAGGTGTATGGTCCTATCTCCTCCACGAGAGGAGTGGCACCTTGCAGCACTTCCAAAGGATTTGTCACATTGAAGAAGTAGAACTGCATGTAGACTGGGGGGGGAGGGTCCTCCCAGGCCTCAAAGGTTTCTGTGCCATTCTTCAGGACTGTTCCCTGAAACAAGAGAAAGGCACATCAGCTGCTGGTGCTATCATGCTGCATGGCACTGACAGGCGAGAGGAATTCCATACCCTGGGAACAAGCACAGGCAGTAAGACTCGAGAGAGATCCCAGTTCTAGATCTGCTTTACTTTGGAGCAGCTCACTCAACATCAACCAAGCCAGGCACCTGCTCTCCTGGCCACAGGCCAGGGGCAGCACTGCTTGGTTTGTAGTTCTACTCCTCCCCACAGACAATTGTGCCTGGCATTTTTCAGAAGGGAGACTGACCAACTACTACTCAGCAATCCTGTCTCCTTTCCTGCATCAGTAAAAACCTCCACCTGGTGCAAGACACCACAAAACGTGCCAACATTACAGATAAAAGTACAACTCATTGCTGGGAGGCCAGCAGAGTGCTGGTCTTGACGACTTCTTTGTCCAAGAATGTCAGATTCCAACACAGCTGTGAGATTCTGTCTCCAAAGCAATCAGACTTTATTTTTCGGTGGCCTGAGAGCAAAACTGTGAATGTCAAATTGCTTTCACATAGGCACTCTAGGATTTGTGTCTTTCCAAGGTCTTGGAATAGGGGAAAGATTGTTCTCCCTCTGTCTTTAATTTCTTTCCTACAGCCGTGTCAGCACCTGCATCTTCAGACTCATAGTGTGTCAGTCTATTTGGTAACCAAGCTATAAACCATTACTTATAACAGAAGCACTTAGGAAATGAAACACTAATTCCCTTACCTCAGTTATACCCCTTATCAGTATATAAACCTTACATGGAAAGTCACAACCACACCTGTCATGTAGAGCTCTGCAATGGAGGTCTCAATCTCTCACTTTATTACTGTTTCATTTTGGATTAAATTCACCCCATTTATAAAACATCTCCACCACCAAAACAAGGCTTTTCATGTAGTTATAACTCTGGAACCGCTGCAGTGGTCACACAGAGAAATCTGTCTGGCAGAGGGAATGTTCGGGAGTAAACACAAAGAAAACTCTATCTTGAAAACCACATCACCTGTAGGCGGAAAAAAGGGAGGAGGGAATGATTTGCAATTAAATGGGTCTCATCAACACTCATTCTTTTTATTCTTCTGAGAAAACAAGTGAAATATTGTGAGTAGAAGCTCAGAAGCAGAGCAGGCTGGACAGATGCCAGCTTGTGGTCAATGTTCAGGGAGTCTTATCAGTCACTCTTGCCTCAGGACTCATTCTTGGCCTTCCCACTTAAGGAGCTGTTTTCTCTCCATGTAGACTTTAATTCTGAGGGATGAGATAAAGAAGACTGTTTCAAAGACAAACTTGTTGGCAGGAGCTTGGCATGGCAGCAGTAATGCTGAACAGCAGTGAGAGCCAGCCCAGCTGGTGGCACTTTGCACTTGCAGCATGCTTTCCCCATAGGATTAAATCCCATTTATTCTGTGTGCACCTCAAAATTTAATGTGTTTCAGACACGCTTGAGGAGCTTGGAGCATTTGTCTGGAGCTACCAGCATCTCATATATACAATTTCTTACACAGGCTGATGCTTTTGATCCTGATTTCTTATGATTTATGCCAAGGAGACTCATCTCTGTATTCACTGGTCATATTCATTCCAGATTTATTTCTTGGATTGCATGGCACAATTTGCATCTCACACAAAAATTAAGTGTCTATTTATTATACAGTGACAGCAAACTTGTGAGCTGGATTCAGAGAGACTCCCAAAAACTGACAAGTAACGAAACATGGTAAGCTCTTTTCTTCTGATTTTCACCAAATGTTACCAGGGGTATTTCAGTCTATCACAGGATATTACAAGGACATCAGAGCTTCTTCTTTCCAAGCGGAGTCCACAGTCATTTCCAGTGTTCCAAAGCAGCCTTCCTGCTGACTGTATTTATCAGCCAGCCCTGAACCCACAGCCCTCTCATTTGCTGCTGTTTCCTTGCCTTGACTGTACTTTACACACAGGAAATAAACAGGGAGCTTTCCCTCCCAAATATAACAGCTACTGGCAGTGATGGTGGGAGCGGGAAATGGTACTGAACATTCCTGAAACCTACACAGAAAATTTAATTCCTTTATTTCATTTTATTTCTTGGAACCTCTAAACATTTTAATTCAAAGACGCACTTTCATGCGTTCATCTATGGCAGAGTTTAACTGAACCTTGTTAAGGTGGTGGGGTAAGTGTTCAGACCAGCATGAACAGACCTCTCTGGGAATGGCCTGCCCCGAAGGAGCCTCCCAATGGATCCTTCAGCTAGGCCTTCATACTAAACTCTCCTGAGAGCTCCAGTGTTTTGCATTAAACAACAACAGCAAAAAATTATCAACACATCAGCTACATCAAAGGAGAAAACATCTTCCTCATCCTTTTGGGCCTCAAACATTCCAGCCAACTCAGCTCAAGAGATGGCTGGTGACAAGTCCAGTGGAATTTCAAGGGGTGTGAAGAGTGTTTTCTAAAATTCTCAGCCTAAGGGATGTGGTGTGAAGGAAACACCTGGGCCAAAGGACTGACTGACTTCCAAGTCTGAAATGAGGAGCTCCAAGATTGATCGTGTGTGTGCATATATATATACACATATATATATAAATGTATATAATATTAGGTTGTATTCTCAATTGCACACCTATGGCAATAAATACATCAGCATCTCTCCATCAGAGAGCACAAAGCAACACCACTGGCAGCTGGAATGCCTTTCTCCTGGGGAAGATTCATCCTTGTTCATTACTGATTTTTCCCATGACTCTCTAGAGTTTCAGGTGCTAGGCCCTGATAACAAACAGGTTTTGGAATTCTGCTTGGGATGGCACGTTTAGTTCAGAGAAATTTTAAAAAATTGCAAACAAAGAATAAGTTGATGAGATTTGAATGTCTTCTGGGAAAAGTGCTGCCAGTGTTCTTGTCACAACACATCTGCCCACTGATTTCCAAGGGGATGTGAAGTCTGACAGCAGGCTGGATTCCCCCTCTTCCCACACCTTCTCTGTATCCCAGACCCTGCCTTTGGTTGGAAAGGCTGCTGCACACAACCCCCAGTGAAAGCAGAGCCATCCTCAGCCATTCCCAGGTGCTGGCTGTGGAGATACCGGCGCTTCAGCTGCTCCAAAACGCCTCTCCACTCCAGCTGCACTTGAGACTGCAAAGGACGTCTGGAAAGCCCTCAAAGGAACAGGGACTCCTCGCAAAAGCTCAGGTCTTGCCCATTCCAAAGGCAAATTTAGATTTGTCTATTTGCACAAGATTTTCTAAGCTACACATGCGGTTATGCAAGAGACAGCAGCTTTCCCAACTACACACAAATGAGGGGAAGCTCACGTGGGACGAAGCAAATGTGGAGAGCAGCCAGCTCAGCAGAGTGACAGGGAGCAGCGTGCTGTGGGGCTGAAAGCTGTGCTTCCCCAGCCCGGGGGTGTGGCTGCGGCAGAAGGCGCACCGGGGAGCTGGCACCCCTGGCAGGGAGCCGGGCAGCGCATTCCCTGCAATCCAGATGTGTGCCAGCACGGGCTGGAGAGCAGCAGGCAGCAAAGAAAGGCCTGAGCTCTGGAAACTTTATCCTGCATGACTGCAAGCCTGCTGAGCGAACAGCAAGCGGCTCTTACATAAGTTGCTCCGAGGAAGGAGCAGGCGGCCGGAGATAATGCGCGTAAGGAGGATCACGCCTAATTCCCGACAGTCCTGCTCCAAAGCACTGCTCCCACCCCGCTAACAGCAGCGAGAACACTTGGAAGCAGACCTTCTGGGATGCAGGGGAGGGCAGACTCCTTCCCAAGGAGAGCCAAGATCAGGGGAATGGAGCTGTGTTTCCAAGTGGCACAACCTGCTGTAAGTTCAGTGCCAACCTAAACCAAACCGATTTGTGGCAGTGCAGTTTCCATGGTAGGAAATGCTCCCTGTCAACAGCCCAGAGGAAAGAACAGTAGGTTAGGAGATCACAGATAATCTGGTCACCACTTAGACAACAGCTCTGGACAAATCCCTTCATGGGTTAGCGTTCCTGGCTTCTCTGTCAGAATAAGAGCTAAGATAATATTCCTCAGATAAATAAATAATTGTTCATTACAAAGGAATTCCAAGAGAGTTACTAACACAGCTGACCCTTCCCACTGGGCCACTGCATAAATGCACAGAGCCACTCAGGGAGAGAAACAAAAGCTTAGGCAGGGCAGGAGCAGTGCAGGCCTCTGCATCCCCAGCAACACCAGGATGGGTGTCCCCGAGTGCGGAACAACCCGGTGAAATGCCTGGCTGCCATCACCCAGCCTGGGGAACAGGCTGGTAGACACCACGTGTTCCAGTCCACAGCACCTCTGGCCCTGCTCCAGAGGCACCCGTAAATGGAGCAGCAGAACAGGTATGAGAGCTGCAAGCAATTTATGATAGAGATGTCAAAAAGAAGAGGTGCTTCAGGTGCCTCCTGCTCCTCTCAGGAACTGCTGCTCTGGAGAGGACTCCTTGCTACAACTGCTGCCCCACAGTGAGCAGCTGCCTCAAGAAGAGATTTTTACCCCACCCTCACCCGATTTTTACTCAGCCCAGGGACCAGTGCAGCCTGAGCTCCATTCTGAGCCCCAACCCAGCCGGGTGGGGCTGGGCAGGGGGGGTCCACGGCCCAGGGATGCTCCTGCCCACTCACCCATCGCCGCTGCAAGGAGGCAGCCAGCCCCCACCCTCCCTCGGCTATTTTGAGAAGGAATAACCCAGCAAACCAGGACCGAACCGGCAACGCGGCAGTGCTTTTACCTGCTTCACCTGCAGATCCACCACTGTCTGGAAGACGTGCGCGACCAGCAGCGAGATGCTGGCGATGAGCAGCGTCATGGCCAGAACCCCCACGGTGACCAGACACAGCGACTTCATGGCTGCTGTCGCCGCCGCTGCCGAGCAGGGAGCGCCGGGGCTCCGCCGGGCTCGGGCTCCAGGGGCGGGCGCACCGCCGGCCCCGCCCGCCAGCGCCGGGAGCAGCCGCCGCTCCCCGCCCTCGGCGCCGCAGCCGCCGCCGCTGGGCCGGGGGTGCTCTGCTGTCCCGGGGGATGCTCTCCCGGCTCGCCGGGGCCGGGACAGCGTATGCCAAAGGAACGGGGCTGGTTCCTGCCCGCAAGGACTCCTGGCACAGCCGGAAGGCTCCTGCCCGCTGGGGATGGCGGTGCTGGAGCGCCCCGCTCGGTGCGGCGGGCAGCGCCAAAGGGCGCTCTGCAAAACAAGCGGAGCAATTCCACAGCGAGGTTAATGCGGCAAAGCTTAGAGGCGCTTCGCGCTCCCTTCAGACTGAATTAGGCATGGCGGGGAGCGGGTTCTGCTACACTTCAGTGCAGTTCAGTTGTTTAACTAGGTTAAACCGCTCTTGAAAAAAATCAATCACATCAATGTACCTGCTTTTTCAAAAGCCAGCGTGTGAGATGTAAAGCTGTGTTTCATGTCAGGTACAAACAGGCGACGTGTGTATTTGTGAATGCGAAATGTGTGGACCCCGACAATGGAGAGCTGTGAATTATAATAATAACTGAGGAAAATAAAGCATGGAAAAAGGCCTTTGAACCTATCTTTTGTTTGCAATTAACCCTGGTTGATTTAGGAGCAATGGAATTAAGGTGTTAAAGATGTTGCTTTTTGCTTGCATTTAATCCACAAAAAGCTCTGCAATAATAACCTTCTGAAGTATAATTTTAGAATATTACTTGTATCCTTGAAACTATAGCTTTGGAATATATATAAAGGAAATATGCTTATCTCACTCCTTATTGAAGCAGAGAAAAACAGCTTGAAAAAGGAAGAAGATGAACATTACCTCAAGGATTTATGGTTTTGACCAAAGAGAAGCTGGACATCACTGTTATGAGATTTAGAGTCTCTGCAATTAAAAGGTGGACACACATCTGGGGAGCTGGACCCCACTAGATGGGATTCGTCTTTCTTCTTTCGGAAACTGGACCGTCACCATCTGGGGATACTCCTTTGAGATACATCCTGAGAAAAACTAAATCACTGTAGTGTGTAGAATTGTGATGTAATAAGTTGGAATAAAAATTGCTGATGAGTAAAAGACTGGAAATAGAAACTGCAGAAAAAAAACTGATGAGTACCCCTATAAATACCTGTAACCATCAATTATCGGCGTGCCATTGGACGGAAAACTTCCCCCACTATACCCAGTGCTGTATTGCTCATACTTTACCATATTAATTAATAAAGTGATTGCTGCTTGAATATTGGCCTAGTCAAGCTTCTTATTCATAACAAGCTGGATGTTCTGCTCCACTTCCCCACCCAGCACTGCCTGCAACAGAGCAATGGATGTCATGCCAACCCCCGTCCCCCACGGCTTTCCTGTGGCACAAGAGGAAGGCAAGCCCTGCGACATGGCGCTGCCATCCCACGCCCCATCAGCAGCACCAGTGTTCCCCCAGTCACAAGTCAGCTCCCTGTCCAAACTACGAGGCTGGCAGCTCCCAGCTCCAGCCTGATCCCACTAATGCCTTCCCGAGCAGGAGGGCAAGTGGCCTATCAGGTGGATTTCCTGCTAGGATGGACTGAAGCATCTTCCCTTAGAAAGGCTTCTTCCTGTAATTGTGATTGCAGTAACAGTGTTATGTTACTGTGTGCCCTTTTGGATATTTTTGCTTGTGAGAGGTTCTGAGGTCACATGTCACAGCTGTTTGGAAAACCAGAATTTTTGTGGTTCCACCCATACAGTTAAATTTCTTTCTTTTTTGTTTTTTTAAAGGTTGTTCTGGCAGCATTCTTTCATTTAGCTTCTCATTCCAGAGTGGTGTTCTCAGCCCTGTTTCATCACCATTTCTCCAAAAACCAAGAACCAGAATACATAATTAGAATCTGGTTTTGAAGATTAATTTAACTACAGCAATAATATATTCCCCTTAGAAAGAATTCCCACAGAAGAATATTTCTCTGTAAACCATAAACGTACCCTTCACTGTAAAATATTTTAGCTGAACCCTGGCACAGATATTTATAGATCAAGCAAAGACTCCTACAGAATTTTGGGTTTGGTTAACTCAGCTTTTTGGCTTTTTCCATAAAAATCTACCCATGTGATGCATAGAATCACATTGTTTCTCCATACAGATTTTCTAGATTCTCAGTGGAATTATTTTCTTTATTTTGGCAAATCATTTTACCTTTGGAAGCCAGGGAAGTGCTCAGCAGCCATGATACACTGCAAACACTCCCTTGAGGAGTGGCTCCAGCTCTGGAGTGCAGCCTGGGAATGCAGTGGGTGCACTGCTGGCTCAAGGCACAGTTGTGTGTCATAATTCCAGATCCCTGAAACAAGCAGAGGCACATCTTCCCTTTCCAGGACCATGATGGTGTTGCTGAGACAAGAGGCAGACAAGGCCCATTCTGGAAAGCATGGATACAGTGAAATTGTCTTGTCCCATGCACTGGGAATATCTTGAATAAACATAAAAAGCCAGATTTACTGAGGTTGTGATGTGGCTCATTCAGTTTGTGCAACACCAGGTGCTCGGCTCCTTGGAGTCTATGCAAAGCAGGAAAAGCTTGTAAGGGAAGGAATTAGGAAATCACACAGCACAGTGTCAGCCAAATCAGACCAGATCCCAGAAATCCTTAATCCTCTTCCTGGGGGTTAGCAGCTGTCAGACATTTCTCCAGAGGATGTTTGATGCTGCCCAAACAGGGCTGGAACAGCACTCAGGAGGGTGGGGTACTGCTCCTGGTCTCTTTGTGTCCATCCCTGGCACTTGATGGATCTCTGGGCTTTGGCACCTGAGATAGGAATCGTGCTTGCCCTTACTTAACCACCTGCCACTGCTGACAGACCTGTTCACACCCTGTCTGACTGCTTCACACCCAGGCCCTGCTTCCTCAGGAGCTGTGACCTCAGGGCACACACAGACACCAAACAGCCTCTCCAGGACTCAGAGCAGTTTCACCTCAACACTGAAAATGCAGCTGTAACAAGAAAAGTGCTTTAGCTGATAAACACTCTGCCAGTTTCTGTCTCATCTCCAGTTTGGATAGGCTTGTCCACTCGTGTCCTGCTGTTGCATGATGTCTGCAGTCTACTTCCTTCTGTGGCTCTGTGGTACCTGGCTGCCCACCTCATCCACACAACATAAAACAGGGAACCTGCAGGTCCTTCCCACTCCCAGTTTGCTGACAAACTGAGCCTGTGCTGGCTGCAGTTCCCAGCAAGGGCCAAGAAGGACACAGCACAAGCCTCGCATGCAGGGCACACTCCCAGCCCTGGAGGAGCAGCTCTTGGGAAACACCCAAGTGCATCAGTAAGACACAAGGAAAAGCTTTCCAGAGGCTTTGCCCTTCTGCTTTCCCTGCACGGCTCACACATGTCCTTGTTGTCAAACAACTCACACACACTGTGGGTATCTAGTACTCTATGCTTAATTAATAAAACAACATAATAATATCCATACTACTACTACTAATTTAACCTAGTTATAAGATCCTGATTTCAGCTGAGAGTTAAGACATTTCTGAAAGGTTTGTAAGTGGGCAGTGATCACATTTCACTGTCTCAAGCTTCAATTTCTTCTTCCCAAAGAGCAAATTAATTGCTGGCAGGAAAGCAGTTCACTGTAGGGCAGAGCTATGCTGCAATTACTGCGTCCGTCAGCAACCTTGGAAAGGGCTGGGACTAAAGTTGGTGCTTTTTGTAAGAGCAACCTTTGCTCTTGGGTTAGAAACTGCTTGATTTCCTGATTTGGGACAGTGACCTCCCAGGAAATGAGACATTTGCCTGCAATAGCACTTAATTTAGCTTTTGAGGAAGTTATTACTTTTAACTGTTGTGAGATTAGCAGAAAAGTGGTTTTCCCTCTGAAATCTGGGCCTGTCCCTCATGTTTTTGACACTCCCCAACTAAATAACCACAGCCCTCATGGATTGTTAGCCACTCACACACACCTGCATCTGGTAATTGATATAGGCACATTTTATATTCATATGCACACAAACATATTCTTCCTAACTTCAGCTGTACCAAAACTAGCAATGCAGCCACTCACACCCCTCAGCTACTTCTGGCTGGGGCTGCTGCTCCCCTGACTCACCTGCTGGTGCAGCAAGAGCTCTGTGACTCAGGGGTGCCAGGCTGTGCTGCCAGTATGGCACCGAGCATCGCTCCAGGCCACCTTTTCCTCTGCACCCAGACTGCTGCCCTCCTTTTCCAAAGCTGAATCCCTCATTCTAAACACCTCCTTCCCAGCACTGGCACACAGCAGAGCTGGAGCCCTCCCTGCTGAAGCAGGAAATGCCTTCTGGGCTGGGAGGATGGCACCAGTGGCTGTGGAACAGAGACGTGGCTGGGAAAGGAAGGCAAGGATGACTGGGAGGCTCTGGCAAATGGCACTGTCTGGGTAACTCACACAGGTTTGCTGAGGGCCTGGCTTGCAGGGCCAAGCCCATCTTATCAGTGAAGCTCCCCCTGCCAGAGTTTTACTACCTTAATTCAGGTTTTAGCTTCTGCAATGCAGATTGCAACAGGAAGAACGCTGTCTTTTCAAGTGCTTGATCTGATACTCTTGAGTGTTGCCCACAGAGACTGACACAATTTTCCAAGCCCTCAGTTTTCTGTACAGCCCTTGAGACAGCTCCAGGATGAACCAGGTTTACTTGTTCTGCTGCTGCTGAGTGCTGCAAACAGCCCTGGACTACTGGGAACATCCTCTGCACACCAAGGGATAAACACAGGTGTGGAAGCAGCCAGGGAGGAACCAAAAACACAGCTGATAGGAGCCTATGCTGTTCCCAGCAGCAGACCAAAGGAGAACCTGGCAAAAAAAGCCTGGAGAAATGCAAAACCAGACCAGGATTGTGCTCACTCTGGCCTTACAAACAAGCAGACAACAAAGCCCACATCACCATAAAAATATGTCTCTGTTTTTGTTCTAAGAGAGCTCTAAGGAGTGGGTAAGGTTTCTGATGCATGTGATTAAAAG